TACTCGCTTTTGTTGATTTTAACAAGGCATTTGACACGGTGAACCGCGAGGCATTGTGGCTGGTGTTGGGTAAGTTTGGTTGCCCGCGTAAGTTTGTAAGTTTAACTGAATGTCTGCACAGTGGTATGCGAGCGAGAGTGCAGCTGAGTGGAGATACCTCGGATGACTTTGCAGTTATCTCTGGTGTGAAGCAAGGCTGTGTCTTAGCTCCTGCCTGTTTAATATATATCTTCATGCAATGTTGTTCTGTGCTTTTGATGCGGCTTGTGCTTACGGTGTTCGTGTGGAGCACCGTATTGATGGTGGGTTGCTGAACATCCGTCGTTTCGGTGCGAGAACTCTAGTCTGTGAGACAACTATCCGTATGTTGCTGTTTGCTGACGACTGTGCATTGTTTTTACACAACGCGGATGAGTTGCAAAACTGTCTGTCTCTTTCAGCCTTCACCGGAGGTGCAGTCTTCAGGATTGCCACAAATCAGCATTGGTGCTGAAGTATTGGAAACCGCCTCCCGCTTCCGCTACCTTAGGAGTGTGATGTTGACTGAGCAGCAGCTATACAGTGAGCTGCGTAAACGCGTGTCGAAGGCAGCGGTGGCATTCGGGAAGCTTGAGTACCGTGTGTGGAACAACCATCAGCTTACCATTGGCAAATTCATGGTACTGTCCGTTCTTCTATACGGCAGTGAAACGTGGATAATATACCGTCGGGATGTGAGATATCTCGAGCGGCTCCATCAGCAGCGTTTGCGACGAATTTTGCGGATCGGCTGGGGCGCCAGAGTCGCAGACACGGAAGTTTTACGCCGAAGTGGGATGTATGCAGTGGACTGCATACTTTTACTGTGACACCTGAGATAGCTCGGTCATGTGAGCCGTATGGATTCGGCGCGGATACCGAAACAACCCTTATACGGTCAGCTGAGTATTGGGAAGCGGCACGTAGGGAAACCAAAGTTACGTTACCAGGACATGATTAAAGTGAGCCTCACACGTTCTTATCTTGATTGCAGATCATGAGAATCGAAGGCGGTTGATCGGCGTGCATGGCGCGATCTAATCACGAAGGCAGTTGCTGAAGTGCGGGAGAAAGCCCTCTTGCATGCAGAGAAGAAGCGACAAGTGCGGAAGCGGCAAGCACCAATGAATAGTACTCCATCGACATCGAGTGCATGGTACTGTAGCACATGCGGTCGCGAGTGCCTGAGTCAGGCAGGCCTAGTGAGCCATGATCGAGGTCACTCGGGACCACTGCCGAAGCGACGACGTGTCCCGCAGTGAACGTAGGCAGCACCGGCGCAGCGTTTGTAGGCACGCTGAATTCGATTTACTAACCGCATGCTTGCATGCTAAGTCTTTATTTCAGGTGGTGGGTTTGCGATTCTCTCCTAATGCCTTTCTTTCTCATATAAATGTCTAGTGGGCCTTCAGCTAGGCCCTTTGGGGCCACTACAGAAGCGACGACGAGTCCTGCAGAGAATTACGGCGAGCCGGCGCAGCGTTTGTAGGCACGCTGAATTTGATTTACAAACCGCGTGCTTGCATTCTAAGTCTCTTTATTTCAGGTGGTGGGTTTACAGTTTTTACCTTAATGCTTCTCTTTCTCATATAAATATCTCCCTGTACTCTATTCCATTAACTTGCACACATCGCCTAAGCCAATTGTATTCGATTTCCATAACATTTTTGTGTTCGTGGCATTCCGTGAACTATATTTCCTGACCTCATGCACTTAGCTAGGATTTGTTTGTAAACAATTTATTACATATGCTATTTAATTAAGGTTTAAATCACCGTTTCCTTATGCATTAATGGAGTTTTTCTCTTTTTCTTTCTCTCTCTCTCAAGTGTTTGGCTGTTGTTTGATATCCCCGGTGTGCATGCGCTTGATGTGCATGTTGACAAGGTGCTTACATGTCTATTACCCACTACCTCGTCCATACTGGCTTTAGGAGACAGTTGGTCGTTGCTGGAGGGGAGCGGGTGCACGGTTCTTGTGGTCGTTTTAGGATCAGTGAGTGGTTCCATGCAGTCAGTGTGGAGCGGACTACGGTCTAGCCACCGCATTGTGTGCGCTTGATTCCCAGATACAGAGTGCTTGTGTTTACCTGTGAAGGAGTGTGGGCCGGATCCGTTGTTGAAAGGTGGCTCCCATCCGCATGCCTCCCGGTCCTATTCCTTCAGATTTACACTGGATATGGGGTGTGTGGTTGGAGCTGTGGGTGGTGCAGCGGAAGCCATCCACGGTCCCTCTGTAGGCGCAGGTGTCCTGTGGCTTGCCACAGTGACAGGCAAATCCGAAACTGGAAGCCGCCAACCATATATATATATATATATATATATATATATATATATATGTTAAATGGTAATCTTCCATTCCACTGAAGTTGATATAGCTGAATAGATACTAGAATTTCTCGGCGACTTCTACCTGATCACCAGCAACTTTTAGTGCAGGACCGGGTCCTTTGCAATCTTGGCGGACTTTACACTTCGAGATTGCAAAGCCTAGCCCGAATCGACTAACAGCCATTGCTAAGTTATCCAGTGCTACTTGGTACGTTTGAAAGTTGTCATAGATAACGGCATGTCGTCGGCGTACTCCAAGTCAGGAAGTTGATCACCTGGGAGCAACTCCAAGCCTTGCAGCACGTGTTCAGTGAACGCTGCTTCCATGACTTCCTCAATAAGGAAGTTGTAGAGGAATGATGACAACGGGGAACCTTGTCCAACCCTGCTGGAGATACTGAAGGGTGGTGAAAACTTGCCGTATGCCGTCTCTCTACCCGAACTACGCGCGTACAGCGATCGGATAAAGTTTACGTATTTATCGGGCACACCATTCCTGACTAGACAATCCCAAGGAGCACATCAATCCACAGAATCGGACACATTTGATGTCGAGAAACACGACTGCGGTGGGTCACCAATAAATATGGCGACGCTACAACAATTGACGCAAAGTAAAGATATGGTCGATACAGCCTCGATTTCGACGAAACCTTGTTTGCTGCTCACGAACCTGACTTCACGAGTGCTAGCGAACCGGTGGAGAACGACAGACGGAAGCATTTCAGAAGCTATTGAGAGCAGACTGACTCCTCCAAAATACTCGTATTCCGAACTTGAGCACACTTTGAAAATGTGGTTATAACAGATCGGCTCCAGTCTGCTAGGACGTTTGCTGCTCCCGCAGTTGCATAATCATTTTGGGCAGTTCAAGTACAAGAGCAGGTCACCCGAATTCGCGACCTTATTCAGTTTCAGGTGTCTGATCTCACGTTCGAGTTCTGCGCGTGAAGACGTGTCCAGCGGGACGGTCCACGTAGAAGGCCGATCAATGGTCGATGAAGAAGGTAGTAAATCTGGTTGATTAAGTTGCACCTCAAATTGTTCGGCCCAACGTTGCAAACGTCGTGACACAACGTTGATTGGCTGTACACCCACGTACTCCCACATATAACACCAGGTCCGCTTCTGTCCGTTTCACGTAGCAGACGGGACCACTTACTATAGTTAGCAAGACCAGCGGCCATTACTATCTCCGACGCATTATGAGACTATCAAACTTTGCGGTCTTCCAGACTAGTACTCACTTTCGCCCTGAGGTCTTGATGAGCCTGATTGTGTTTGCTCCCAGCCGGAATGTGTCATCGAGCATCCAAAAGCTCCAGACTGCATAGAGACTGAATGTCCAGGTTGGTAAGTCGATTTAGCACATGACGACGTGCCTGCTACTAATAACGCTCGGTTGATATGCAACCAGTGGTCCTCCACTGCGTTCAGAGTGTGCTTGCTCAGCCCGGATGCCAGCGTAATTTGTGTTGGGGAGACACGTATTTGACCTAAATATTTTGGAAATCATTCGTAGTTACCGATTTGTTTCCTTCCGCTATCGCTCTTTCTGGGATTTGTTGAAACACCTCTTTCTGCTAATCTAATCGGCTGATTGTGGTCACAGCTTCTGCCGGCAGTTCGCAGTTCCAATTGGCTGCTAACGCATTTGTTTTCGTTCTTTGCGTGCCTGTTATTGTTTCTTTTATTGAGTACTCATCATTGGCTGCATTCCGTTTGCATCTCTTCAGCAACATGGTTGGTTTGAATGTCTTTTAGTAGCTTCTATTCGGCCCATTTTCAAAACTATTTACATAACATGATTCAATGCATATAATTATTTTCCGGCTGGTATTTGGAGATCTGTATGCGATCAAGGGGCGAAGGCGTTCTCCGGCGACAAAACACTTTGATATACATTCGGAACATTGGCTTCGTCAGTTACCGTGTATATATGCGCTGAAAACGAAGCAGAACGCGCCTACCAAAGCGAAATGTAAGATCGGTCAGAGTCCACGTTCGCGCTGCAAATTGTGTCACAGTATTGAACAGCTTTTCCAATCTATCCGCAAGCCCTACTGCTTAAATCTCCACTAAATGGGTTCGAGATGGAGAACCCAGGTACACGAGCACTTTTAAAATCAGACTACGATCATCCTTTTGTTTTGAGCCTACAAGAAGGGAACGAAGTAATTGTTACGCCCGTATATCGAAGAAAAGTTGTCATTACTGACAAGGTGACATGACCTACCGATGGTGCTCCGCTAGTATCAGGCGTCAAAGTAAAACGAATGACATTTACTTTAGTTAAATCAAAAGCTCTTAGGCCTTGAACAATGCTGCAACACGACTGGCCTTCTTCTATCCCATAATGGCATAATGGGACAGTGCTTTGTGCAGGAGATGCATCAAGCACACTGTACCAAACGACAACGCGTTGTTTAAAGTGACGTTAGCAGTTCCCACTTATTTGGTGTCTGATGGCATAAAATTACGAAATGAATGGGAGTGCGGACTTGGTAGCTGCCAACTGGTACATGAATATGACGATTCATATAGCACCACATGGCAAATATATTACCAAAAACCTAATTCAACTAAAATTATCTCAGACGCACATTACACGAGTACAAATACTTGATAGGCATCCGTTACAGAAGAAATTACCTGGATGGAATTTGGTAGTAGTTTGGCCAAGCAAGTGACAGGGTTAGGATTTAAATTCAGCATACCCTGATTCCACGCGGAAGTCAGTTCAGTAAGATAAGCCGTCCGTGGAAATCCAAGATAGGATAAAATTCCAGCCTGTGACATCCGTTGCAACAACACGGGAGTGGAAGGAAAACACAATATTCTCTTGAATTCTGCCCAACAGCGAGCGCTGTCAATACCGGATAAGCCCGATGCATTCTCAGAAATCACCTGATGGGGAGGTAGCAAAAATGATGAAATGATGACCTAGCAAAGGACAGCGCCAATAACATCACTGTAATCAAGCAAAAGCAGGATATAGATGACTTTATTCATAATCTACCTACTCTGCCATTTCTGGTCCGAATTAAGAGTCGTTTTTCCTTTTTCAGTTACACACACACCAATACGTTACCGACGACTCCACAGAAACAGTGGTTGAGCAAATGGGGACAATGCTACTCCAATTATGATTACTGGAGCAACGAACAGATGCCATTCGTGATTTACCTTTAGGATGTCATCATCGTGAATGTCTAGCTCAGGTGGTTTCGCGAAACGCCCGTGAAAGCGAAAATACCGCAGGATTCTAAGGTGATCCTCACAAATGCGGGCGGATGGGTCACCGACGAATCGAATCCGCCCTTGCAGCAAATCATCCACCCCACCAAAGTAGTCGTATATATCGCCTTGAACGGAAGAATCACTGTGTTGATCCTCCGAGACTGTGCGGTCATCACAGGCCATCTGCTCGTCACGCCCAACCGACACATTGGACAGGTCTAATCTGACGAAAAGGGAGTTCACTGTGAAATCCCGCCGAGCCGCCTCCAACCACCATTCGTCGGTGAAATCATATCCCGCACAACTTCCTTCAGGAGTAATGCATCTTCTTAGGCTTGTTATCTTGATAGTTGGCTGCAAGAGCGAACAAAATTCGGAAATACCGGGCTGATCTGGTGAGTTCATTGATAGGTTTTGCAAAACTTTCGTTTGACACACTATAGTATCAAAACCATGAGGTTACCTAGAAAATGTCCGGAGTCAGAATCCGTATACACGAAATGTCGATATAAAAAGGCACAAGTAAGTTGTATTTCAGAGGCGGATTATTCGGCCGTATATCAACTCTCACAAAGCGCATGCCTGAAAAGATCACCTAACCATGCTATTCGCTTGGCCAGTCCCACAGAAACACATGCACAATGTTGTTCTTTCAAATCAGATTTTTATCTGGTTCCCTAAATAATTGGAATGAAAGTAAAATATTAAATATCCAAGTGTGTTGGATAATGTTTGCCGTATCATCTAACAAACTATGGCAGTTGGAACACGAATGTGAACTGCGATTCGGGTACTCGGTGATAGTGATGCATATTACCCAAATATCATTCATAGAAAACCGCTGCAACCGTGCTAGAAATCCTAACCGCGTTGCGATGCTTCCTAAACCGAGTGACTTATAGTTGTTACATAACCATCAGAATATGTCATGTAAAATTTTTTATACTGCAGTTCCACAGTTCACCGGATAAGTCTCTCCGATAACAAAGTACTTGCGGTTAGTTTGGAGATGTCCAGTTAAAATCAATGGGAATTGGATGTTAGCTGCTTAGGAACAACCAATTCACATCTGCTTCAGCTACGATCTAAGTGATCGAATGGACCAAAGTTCCCTTCAATGCGAATCACCGTCCACATTGAGATTGCACATCAGAAGCCAACCAGCACACAACATGTACTTCATTGCAGGACTCTCTGTTAAGCACTCGTTGTGTGAATGGACTTCGAATCGCAGTCTCAGTCTGGACCGAGAGCGGACAAAACCTACAAGTTACCCACAAACTGTTAGTTATTAAATCTGAAGAGTAAACTGGAAGAACGGTCACGAATTTGGATTTACTGCTTTCATTTAATTGCATTCATTCTGCTGAATCATAGCATAAACGGAGGATGGGTTGGTAAGTCCCCTGGTGAGAATATGTGTTACTAAACTGTGGTGGATGGCAAACCAGTGGAACTGCTCATAAAGTAGACCAGTATGCATGATTCCACAATCCAAGTGCAGCGATTCGCAACCCGAGTTCGTCCTTAGTTGCATTGTTCGGTAGGAGATGATAGAAGTTAGGTCCTGAACAAGACACAAAGCGCGTGTCAGCGGACCCCTCCGGCACTTGGACACCTAGCTAAGCAAACACAAACTAAACCTGTCATGCCACACACAGCTAATTTGCAGGCTACCAGCTGCCAGTTTCTGCAGTGATGCACATGCACCAGTATCAACCTGCCAAATGTGAAACACAATCCCGAGCTTCTGATTGGGCTGTACGAAAGGGTATGGTCGAGGATTCTTGGCGGATTAAATGCCGCACCAGTAACTTGCTAGTGGCAGTGATAATTTTCCAACATCACGTTGAAAAAGCCTTCACTAAAATCGGTAACGTTCAATTATTAAACACTGCAAACTAAATGTTGGTCATGTGAATATGTTACTCTGAGCGACTATTTTAAGTGCAAAGTCATTGGCCATGTATGTAATGCACAAAGCATCAGATGAAACAGTATAATTCATAGTGTATTGTGCGATTGGGAATACACGTCCAAAAGATCGCAGAGGGCCAAAACTAGACACCCCCGATTCTGTTCACATCGAGGCGCCATTGTCCCGGAGATGAAGTTGACGAAGAAATAAACAGAACAGAGAGACCTCAATTATGATTTAGGGCATAGGGAAAATGAAGTTCCAGAAAGCCCACGAATACCAAAATTGACCGCCAATTTAATTATATATGATATCATATAATCATCCAAGCGGTAGTATCCACATTTCTGCTAGTGGCAATAATCCCATTTGATGAGTGTTACGCATGTGTATACCAAGGTGATGGTGATTACCGTACACACAATAATCAACAAACAGTTACTAAAGTACTACAGTTGGAAAAGTCCCTACTGGTGAACTCAGTCACGAGTCATATGCGAATAACAACCATGGAAGCGTGGCAAAATTGCTGAAATTAAATAGTTTCCACGGGAACAAAATATTTACCGTATTGTTCATGCGGATGGCTACTCTTCCGTGCGATTCAGGATTTCGATCTAATCTGGTGATGTTCTCTCGTTGAAATATTCTAATCATTTGTGCGGGAGTTGCGGTGGTTGTAAATTTTAACTTGGTGATGCGTATGCCCAGTAGCATGTCACGAGCAGCGCCACCCGAAAATCGGAGCTCATATCCATTTTCCTCAAAAAACTTGTGCAGAAGTATGATTTCTTCTTGATATGACGCGGGAAAGGCATCGAAAATGACAGGACGGATTCTAACCCCAGTGTTTGGAGGTTGTACAGGATTTGCCATTATCACACCGTAAAATGGGGATACCTTTAGCGAAACAGATTTGGTTAAAAACCGGAACAATGGAATGTTTCGTGGGTTCATTTGGATTGCGCAAAGAAAACATGTTCCCACATTTAGCAAGCGAGTAGTATCTGTCAAAGTACTCTCCAAGGACCAACTGGAGAAATTGCGAGCACCGTTTATTAAATAGCAAGAGTGAAATGGGATGCCTCCGTTGGGGAGTATAAACAAACGAAAAAAATGAAGAATTATTGTAAAAGAAGGCGTTCAGAGATCATGAGCAGAATTACTGCAGGCTGAACAATGAAGGAGTAAAATCACTGTAGTGGTTTTATGGAAAAACGGAATAAAGAGGGTTAACTACCGTTGAGGAGGCAACTGAGGAGTAGAGAAGTTGCCAAAACCACATCAGCCAGGAAAAGTAAGGCACGCAGCAAATGAAAAATGCTGTCCAATTATTTTCTACTACCGAACTACTCAACGGGCCGAGAATTCACTCACTCAATGGGACTATTAAGGTGCTGTTGGGTTTTAGGTAAATACGATGACGGTGGGAATAACCGATACACTCCGACTCATTCCTGCAAACCTGCCTGTATGCAATGCACGGAAATGCCGAGCATGTGGAACCGTTAGATAAACGCATGCCATCGTTGGTACAGATGTCGTTATTGCGGACATGCTGCTTGTAGCTGGTAAGTTAAACCGCGCTGTTCTGTCGCTGTGCATACGCACATGGGAATGAGATTAGTGTTTGCGTGTTTGCGCTGGGCCAAACATAGATCTTGTACTGCAATTCGACAGCACGCAATGCGTGCAAGAAATCGAACTACTAGTATGGCTTTCTCTGCTCAGTGCACATAAGATACTCACTTAAGAGACACCTCTTCTCCGGTTGCGTTAGAAATACTCGTGGATAAAGAGATTGTTTTGTCGCTCAAAAAAAACAGAATGCTAGCTCTAACAACGTGAATCCGCAGATAAAGTATGTCCTCGAAGTTATTCGGGTGGACAAAACTACTGCGACTCCTTTATAGTAACAAATTCTCGGCAAACAAATCGCCACAAATGCCATATTTTCTCTACGAGTTACATAAGCTGATTTCTGACACATGATCGGTAGCACAAGGCAGCGTAATCCGTGAGAGTCGTTTGAGACAGTGAGCAGCAATAACACTGCCTATTTCCTTCAATTTGGCTATTGAAACCTAATTTACCAGAACGGATATCACTTATGACTAGCGCACACTCACATGGCCTGTTTGATGCCGGTGACGACAATGATCAGCATATAGGTTCACACAAGCTCCATGATATTAGTTAATTTTCCCGCAAATTGCGTAAACATTGAATAAATCTATCAACTACAGACGCCTGCGGTTAATACACAAAATGAAATTAGTCAGGCATACATGATAGGATTAGGTGGGCAGAAAGCAATACTTGGCAGGAAATCACCGTCACAAAAGTGGGTCCTCAGTGAATCACGTCCATGTGCAGTACAGGATCCGAGGGTCAAAGCACCGTTTAAGTGCTGCGTAGTTTCGTAGAAGTGGCCGAATGGTGTATCAGCGAAGCAGCAGAAGTGAAATGTAGACATGTAAGTTATGGTCCTTGTGACTTAGTTGAAGATACGACATTCTTTCCGGTATAGACACCATGCTGCCGCGATGCTCGGAAGATAGACTTGGATTTGAGATACCAGCACAAAAGTCCACAAAGAATACGGTGTGGTGGATCACTTATTAGTAAGTTAAATGCCAACTACAATTGCAATCAGAGCATACTTCCAACTTGACATGAACTCAAGTGGGAAACGATTGGAAAATCGATTTTGAATAGATGCCTTTGGATATGCCATGCTGGTAGAGGTCAGAGTTCACTGCTGTGATTACAAGATGAAAGGATAACTAGAATTGAAAGGAGGTACCGAGAGTCTGAAGTACATTAGTTTGTGCTACAGCTGCACTGCGCTCCGAAACGTACCACATCAGTTCTCTGAGACCATGCAATTGTTTATAGATATGTCAGTAGAGAGCATTGACTTCCTTTTGACAGTGTTCTGTACCTCCATATTTCACTTCCATTTATTACCACGTTGCTCAAATTGTAATAGATGCGCAATAAATGGAAGTGAAATATAGTGGTACACAACACTGTCAAAAGGAAGTCAATGCTCTCTACTGACATATCTATAAACAATTGCATGGTCTCAGAGAACTGATGTGGTACGTTTCGGAGCGCAGTGCAGCTGTAGCACAAACTAATGTACTTCAGACTCTCAGTACCTCCTTTCAATTCTAGTTATCCTTTCATCTTGTAATCACAGCAGTGAACTCTGACCTCTACCAGCATGGCATATCCAAAGGCATCTATTCAAAATCGATTTTCCAATCGTTTCCCACTTGAGTTCATGTCAAGTTGGAAGTATGCTCTGATTGCAATTGAGGTTGGCATTTAATTTACTAATAAGTGATCCACCACACCGTATTCTTTGTGGACTTTTGTGCTGGTATCTCAAATCCAAGTCTATCTTCCGAGCATCGCGGCAGCATGGTGTCTATACCGGAAAGAATGTCGTATCTTCAACTAAGTCACAAGGACCATAACTTACATGTCTACATTTCACTTCTGCTGCTTCGCTGATACACCATTCGGCCACTTCTACGAAACTACGCAGCACTTAAACGGTGCTTTGACCCTCGGATCCTGTACTGCACATGGACGTGATTCACTGAGGACCCACTTTTGTGACGGTGATTTCCTGCCAAGTATTGCTTTCTGCCCACCTAATCCTATCATGTATGCCTGACTAATTTCATTTTGTGTATTAACCGCAGGCGTCTGTAGTTGATAGATTTATTCAATGTTTACGCAATTTGCGGGAAAATTAACTAATATCATGGAGCTTGTGTGAACCTATATGCTGATCATTGTCGTCACCGGCATCAAACAGGCCATGTGAGTGTGCGCTAGTCATAAGTGATATCCGTTCTGGTAAATTAGGTTTCAATAGCCAAATTGAAGGAAATAGGCAGTGTTATTGCTGCTCACTGTCTCAAACGACTCTCACGGATTACGCTGCCTTGTGCTACCGATCATGTGTCAGAAATCAGCTTATGTAACTCGTAGAGAAAATATGGCATTTGTGGCGATTTGTTTGCCGAGAATTTGTTACTACAAAGGATTCGCAGTAGTTTTGTCCACCTGACTAACCTCGAGGACATACTTTATCTGCGGATTCACGTTGTTAGAGCTAGCATTCTGTTTTTTTTGAGCGACAAAACAATCTCTTCATCCACGAGTATTTCTAACGCAACCGGAGAAGAGGTGTCGCTTAACTGAGTATCTTATGTGCACTGAGCAGAGAAAGCCATACTAGTAGTTCGATTTCTTGCACGCATTGCGTGCTGTCGAATTGCAGTACGAGATCTATGTTTGGCCCAGCGCAAACTCGCAAACACTAATCTCATTCCCATGTGCGTATGCACAGCGACAGAACAGCGCGGTTTAACTTACCAGCTACAAGCAGCATGTCCGCAATAACGACATCTGTACCAACAATGGCATGCGTTTATCTGACGGTTCCACATGCTCGGCATTTCCGTGCATTGCATACAGGCAGGTTTGCAGGAATGAGTCGGAGTGTATCGGTTATCCCCACCGTCATCGTATTCACCTAAAACCCGACAGCACCTTAATAGTCCCATTGAGTGAGTGAATTCTCGGCCTGTAGAGTAGTTCGGTAGTAGAAAATAATTGGACAGCGTTTTTCATTTGCTGCGGGCCTTACTTTTCCTGGCTGATGTGGTTTTGGCAACTTCTCTACTCCTCAGTTGTCTCCTCAACGGTAGTTAACCCTCTTTATTCCGTTTTTCCATAAAATCACTACAGTGATTTTACTCCTTCATTGTTCAGCCCTCAGTAATTCTGCTCATGATCTCTGAACGCCTTCTTTTACAATAATTCTTCATTTTTTCGTTTGTTTATACTCCCCAAGGGAGGCATCCCATTTCACTCTTGCTATTTAATAAACGGTGCTCGCAATTTCTCCAGTTGGTCCTTGGAGAGTACTTTGACAGATACTACTCGCTTGCTAAATGTGGGAACATGTTTTCTTTGCGCAATCCAAATGAACCCACGAAACATTCCATTGTTCCGGTTTTTAACCAAATCTGTTTCGCTAAAGGTATCCCCATTTTACGGTGTGATAATGGCAAATCCTGTACAACCTCCAAACACTGGGGTTAGAATCCGTCCTGTCATTTTCGATGCCTTTCCCGCGTCATATCAAGAAGAAATCATACTTCTGCACAAGTTTTTTGAGGAAAATGGATATGAGCTCCGATTTTCGGGTGGCTCCGCTCGTGACATGCTACTGGGCATACGCATCACCAAGTTAAAATTTACAACCACCGCAACTCCCGCACAAATGATTAGAATATTTCAACGAGAGAACATCACCAGATTAGATCGAAATCCTGAATCGCACGGAAGAGTAGCCATCCGCATGAACAATACGGTAAATATTTTGTTCCCGTGGAAACTATTTAATTTCAACAATTTTGCCACGCTTCCATGGTTGTTATTCGCATATGACTCGTGACTGAGTTCACCAGTAGGGACTTTTCCAACTGTAGTACTTTAGTAACTGTTTGTTGATTATTGTGTGTACTGCATTCACCATCACCTTGGTATACACATGCGGAACACTCATCAAATGGGATTATTGCCACTAGTAGAAATGTGGATACTACCGCTTGGATGATTATATGATATCATATAGAATTAAATTGGCGGTCAATTTTGGTATTCGTGGGCTTTCTGGAACTTCATTTTCCCTATGCCCTAAATCATAATTGAGGTCTCTCTGTTCTGTTTATTTCTTCGTCAACTGCATCTCCGGGACAATGGCGCGTCGATGTGAACAGAATCGGGGGTGTCTAGTTTTGGCCCTCTGCGATCTTTTGGACGTGTATTCCCAATCGCACAATACACTATGAATTATACTGTTTCATCTGATGCTTTGTGCATTACATACATGGCCAATGACTTTGCACTTAAAATAGTCGCTCAGAGTAACATATTCACATGACCAACATTTAGTTTGCAGTGTTTAATAATTGAATGTTACCGATTTACGTGAGGACTTTTTCAACGTGATGTTGGAAAATTATCACCGCCACTAGCAAGTTACTTTTGCAGCATTTAATCCGCCGAGACTTCTCGACCATACCCTTTCGTACAGCCCAATCAGAAGCTCGGGATTGTGTTTCAAATTTGGCAGGTTGATACTGGTGCATGTGCATCACTGCAGAAACTGGCAGCTGGTAGCGTGCAAATTAGCTGTGTGTGGCATGACGGGTTTAGTTTGTGTTTGCTTAGCTAGGTGTCCAAGTGCCGGAGGCGTCCGCTGACACGCGCTTTGTGCCTTGTTCAGGACCTAACTTCTATCATCTCCTACCGAACAATGCAACTAAGGACGAACTCGGGTTGCGAATCGCTGCACTTGGATTGTGGAATCATGCATACTGGTCTACTTTATGAGCAGTTCCACTGGTTTGCCATCCACCACAGTTTAGTAACACATATTCTCTCCAGGGGACTTACCAACCCATCCTCCGTTTATGCTATGATTCAGCAGAATGAATGCAATTAAATGAAAGCAGTAAATCCAAATTCGTGACCGTGCTTCCAGTTTACACTTCAGATTTAATAACTAACAGTTTGTGGGTAACTTGTAGGTTTTGTCCGCTCTCGGTCCAGACTGAGACTGTGATTCGAAGTCCATTCACACAATGAGTGGTTCATAGGGAGTGCCACAATGAAGTACATGTTGTGTGATGATTGGCTTGTGATGCGCAATCTCAATGTGGACGGTGATTCGCATTGAAGGGAACTTTGGTCCATTCGATCACTTAGATCGTAGCTGAAGCAGATGTGAATTGGTTGTTCCTAAGCGGGTAAAATCCCATTCCCATCTGCTTTAACCGGACATCTCCAATCTAACCGCAAGTACTTTGTTATCGGAGAGACTTATCCGGTGAACTGTGGAACTGCAGTATAAAAAATTTTACATGACATATTCTGATGGTTGTGTAACAACTATAAGTCACTCGGTTTAGGAAGCATCGCAACGCGGTTAGGATTTCTAGCACGGTTGCAGCGGTTTTCTATAAATGAAATTTGGGAAATATGTATCACTATCACCGAGTACCCGAATAGCAGTTCTCATTCGTGCTAACTGTCAAAGTTTGTTAGATGATACGGCAAACATTATCCAGCACACTTGGATATTTAATTTTTTACTTCCATTCCAATTATTTAGGTAACCAGATAAAAATCGAATTTGGAAGAACAACATTGTCCATGTGTTTCTGTGGGACTGACCAAGCGAATCGCATGGTTACGTGATCTTTTCAGGCATGCGCTTTGTGAGAGTTGATATACGGTCGAATAATCCGCCTCTGAAATGCAATTCACTCGTGCGTTTTTTAATCGTCGTTGTAGGTATATGGATTCTTACTCCAGACGTTTTCTAGGTAACCTCATGACTATGATACCACAGTATGTCATACGGAAGTTTTGCAAAACCTATCAATGAACTCACCAGATCAGCACGGTATTTCCCAATTTTGTTCGCTCTTGCAGCCAACTATCAAGATAACAAGCCTAAGAAGATGCAACACGCCTGAAGGAAGTTGTGTTGAACATGATTTCACTGACGAATGGTGGTTGGAGGCGGCTCGGCGGGATTTCACAGTGAACTCCCTTTTCGTCAGATTAGACCTGTCCAATGTGTCGGTTGCGAATGACGAGCAGATGGCCTGTGATGACCGCACAGTCTCGGAGGATCAACACACTGATTCTTCCGTTCAAGGCGATATATACGACTACTTTGGTGGGGTGGATGATTTGCTGCAAGGGCGGATTCGATTCGTCGGTGACCCATCCACCCGCATTTGTGAGGATCACCTTAGAATCCTGCGGTATTTTCGCTTTCACGAGCGTTTCACGAGACCACCTGAGCTAGACATTCACGATGATGACATCCTAAAGGTAAATCACGAGTGGCATCTGTTCGTTGCTCCAGTAATCATAATTGGAGTAGCATTGTCCCCATTTGATCAACCACTGTTTCTGTGCAATCGTCGGTAACGTATTGGTGTGAGTGTAACTGAAAAAGAAAAAAACGACTCTTAATTCGGACCAGAAATGGCAGAATAGGTAGATTATGAATAAAGTCAACTATCTCCTGCTTTTGTTTGATTGTAGTCAGGTTATCAGTTCTGTACACTGCTATGTCGTCATATCATCTGTGTTGATGTGGACTTAATTTGTTGGACTTTTACCTACATGGGCACAATTTTTTATTTCCTCTTACTTTATGAGCGAAGCAAAAGCCGTTCTTCATCGATTGTAGTTGAAACAATTCACCCTAACACAGACGGGACCCCAGAACTGTGTTTTCTCATTGTATGGTTTTTTATGAAGGGAGTCACTTGTAGATTTATATAATTGGATCCATTGTGTTGACTGAGGAGCTTGCTTTTTGCAATACCAACCATATTTAGAGTCATCATGTTATGTAGCGTTTCTCCTCGTCGGTGAATCTTGAAGTGCCTTGAATCTATTTCTGCATTGAAGTTCATCAATGCAAGTATCATCTGTGATCCCGCTTCCTAAGCCTGGTTCCTGTAATTTCTTGGGGCATTAATCATTCAGACATTCAGTCATTATCACGGTTGCTATTACGTTTCATTTTACTTTGTGTAATTCGATGTAAGTGTGCTCGATTGCGATTTTGGCATAATTCGTGAAAACGCGATCCTGACGTGGATAGTTGTGGGCGAATCTGTGAACTAAAGCTGAAACACTGCGCTGAACAGGTTCCTCTGCTGTTGTCTGCTGGAGGTCGCAGAAATAGGCATGGCACCTTCACTCATATTGAACAGACACAGTGCCCAATTCCACTATAAGCGATCCACAGATGTTTATGCTCCCGTCCCGAATCAATCATTATTAGTCGCTTCAATACTGCTGCTCTTACATAAACTTGGCACGGGCGAGTGCAGAAAATGAAGGTGACCTATCCGGTATTGATGGCAGTCGTTATTGCTCAGAATTCAAGAGGGTATTGTAGTTTACTTCCACCTCTATGCTGTTGCGACTGATGTCGCCGGCCGGAATCGTATCCTATCTAGGACTTCCGCGGACGACTCATCTTTTCCAAAAATCACTTCCGCTTGTGATAGATTAGATTTTGATTCAACCAAGGTGTTGCTGTAGCCACACTATTTGAAGCACTTCGACATTCCTTCAATCCTTACTCCAGACGAATTCCTCTTTGTTGGGCTGTAGCTATCAAAAATAGGAGAAACCGCATTATCCGTTTGTTTCGCCTAGTTTTATTAGAAGAAAAATCGATGGCATTCGAGCTTGTTGCCACTGCAGATGAAATAACATCGTCCATGTCGGTGCACCTAGTATTCACATCAGGTACAGTAATATGGAGGTTTGACTGAGAGTTCCCGGTGGATATACTGGCCTTTTACAGAATCCGAGGTGGAGTGTTAATTGCGGAACGCTCTAGTAATGTTCTATCAAGTTTAAGCGAAATGTACTTATTTTGGAGGTACAGGCCTACGATGGATATACAGTGCATGTTTCGCTCCACGGCTAATTCGCTCAAAATTTGTAACTGACCAGGCAACAAGGTTCCGTGGTTTTCGTTGTCGCAGGTTGATGCTTAGTCTACATCAGACATGTTACAAGCCCGCAGAATAGTTAATGTTACTTTATCCAGATCAGATCTGTCCGATGGTTTAAGAACAATCACTTTTCTGTTCTACACATTCGTTCGTGCATGGAGTCAATAGGAGTAATTAGCTGCCCTGCTTTTCCCAACATGACCGGATCAGTCTTCTCCAATGAGTTACTGATGTATTTAAGCGAAATCTGCTGATCTTTGAGGGGTTCAATGAGTGTCTGCGTTTTTCATCGCATTAAGTTGTGAGAGAGAGGAATTTATCATTAAGTTCTGAAATCAGGTTGTTGTTTGCAGTAAAACAGATTCACTTTTACTTTGAGGCCTTGCATTTTATTTTATTAGCTGGTGGCGTGCATAGTACACTACGTTTAGCTTGCCGAATACGACGAGACTACAGTGGTGCCATCGCGATCTGAGCTTTGGTTTCCAGACTCAGACTCCTAAGTAAGATAATGCAAAGAAAACCAACCTTGTGGGATTTCTTGCGGTTGGATATTGCTAGGTCGGTTAGATTTGACGGTTAGGTTTATATATATATACTCCAACTGACGTGGTTTACCTATATTTTTTAAAATATTTGATCGGGTTAATCGTGCAGTCCTCCTAAGTAAATTGACGTTTCGGGATTGACAAACAAATTATCTCCTGGCTAAGTACCTATCTATCCGAGTGCACCTACCAAGTTCGTGTACGTGGCGCACTTCCTAGCGCTCTGGTTGCGACGACCGGAGTACCCCAGGGATCTATCCTTGGGCCTCTACTGTTTACTTTGTTCATTAATGACCTACCATCTTCCACTAGCATCCATATTCTGCTCTACACTGACGATGCTAAGATATGGCGACCTATCCGCGAGCCGAACGATCAGGCGCCTTTTCAGAGAGACATCGATGCTGCCTACTCCTGGGTCTCGGAAAACTTGCTCCCGTTTAAAACCGTCAATTGCTAGGCCATACACATAGGACAAGGTACGAGCACTAAGTACACCATTGGCGGCGCGCGTATTAACGCCACATCACAGGAACCCGACCTAGGCACTATTATATCCACCGACCTGAGTCCGAGCGCTAACGTAGCCACATTGGCGAGAAAGGCCAGCCTGCGCCTGGCCCTACTTGGGTGTGAATTACGGTCGCTCCCTAGAGAAACATTTGTTCGCCTCTACAGCATCTTTGTACGTCCGCTGTTGGAGTACAATATATTGGTCCAACCGCCGTACCTGAAGAAGGACGAGGCTACGCTGGAAACTGTCAAGCGCAGAGCCAATAAGAGAGTGGAGGGACTACCCACCTCTCGTACAAAGAGCGCCTTGCGGTCCTTAAACACTTCCCACTGAACTACCGTAGGCTTCATGGTGATCTCTTTCTAGCCTATTCTATCCTGACTTAAAACAAGCATCTTAATAGCGACTTACTCGTTCGCACCCGCACAGACCAACTATGAGAGCACTCGCTCCAACTCATGACTAGCAGCAGTCGGCTCCAGTGCCAAAGGACTAGCTTAAGTGTGCGTATCACCTACGTCTGGAACGCCCTGCTTGAAACTGTTGTCTCAGCACATAATATGGAGGTCTTAAAACAACACCTAGATGTTTGGCTCTCGCCTCGCTGGCCTTTCATCTTGAAAGACTTGAGCCATTCGCCAAGCTAGCTAGTAGGGTCACTTCTTCTGACACACTAGCGTTCAGCACTCCACTTAATAACCACTTATTTATTTTTACCGAACTGTCCCCCTGTCTCATACCTTTATGTCCCCATACTGCCATGTTCTGTGCCCTCACTTGCAAAGAAATAACCCCGCAAACATCCGACGTTTACCTGCACACTAGTCCCTTTCTTCCAGGTAGCCACGTCAGCACCATCAAGACGCTGGATACCTGTGCCCCACACCACTACCAAGTCGTAATCTACAACACTTAGAACCTACCGACCACAACAGGACCCTGCCGTAAGACTTCGAGGTCGAACCACCGAAAAGTAAAGATTACTTGTTCTGCACAAACCCATGAAACTATGAAATTCGTTCTTATTGAGCTATCAAGAAGTTTATCAGCAGCTTAACCTCGAGTCACTTTGGTTGCGAAGACTGAAACATAATCTGATGCTCATACACAATCTCGTAAAACAAAGACCCCCTATCTGTGAACATTAAAAAGACAAGATAACTTTACCCGGAACTTCACAAGAATAATGAAAACTAATTATACCAAATCCAGGACATCTATTCGCTCAAACTTCTTGTCAGCTACGCTGTCTTGTGGAATGGACTACCAGCCAATATCAGGCCCTGTACAAATGCATGAACATTCTACGCTAAACTTGGAAATTTTCAGCACCAGAAATCGCTAATGAACATAGTTTTATCAGGCATATCACCAAACAAGTACTTCCAGGATGCATCAAGGGGTTTATAAACAGTAATAAAAGGTGCTTCACAAAATTTGGCATAAGCGTATATGTGTTCTAGAATGTTTTGATAACACACACTACAGAATACACATCTCACTCCTGCATGAGAATGAGCATTACTGTAACGATGAGCTGTCCCTAATTCAGGGACAGCCTCTGGCACAACCGAGAAACATACGCATGAATAGGTCACTTATCAAGTGCGTAACACTGAACTCAACGCAACCACGCATGATCTATCTGATCAACAATTAATACCAGACTATCTGAATAGGTGAATGAGTCGTGTGAATGACTATGTGATCAGTCATCTATAGAGTTATGTACGCAGGTAGTTAAATCTCCTGGTAATTACAGTAATGGCAAACAATAAAGTAGGCAGTTATGTTATACTAGAGCAATACTCACCAAATGATGGCGGATGAACACAGCTCAGCGGGGTTTCACAGTCAAGTTCATGTTATGCAGACAGGATCCCAACACTGTCCCATCAATTTCGGGTGCCGATGTTGAACAACACGCGACAACCGGATTCTGATTCTGGATCGGTGGATTAGTGCGTTCCTTCATCCTTTTGATGGCTAACAAAAGGATTTGCAGAAAGGACGGATTTGATTAACCGGAGACCCGATTCTTTGCACAGGTGAGGCTCACTTCCGCATAGTCATTGGCGTCTGTCCATACCAAGCGAATGCAGTGGTCAGGAGCGCAATGAATATGTCCATATTCCGGTCACACACTTCAGTCGCAAACGCAATGCTTGCCCACTTTTATATGTTGGATGCTTAATTAGATGTACACAGCTAGGCGTGCATCGGTTGGTGCACATCGCGTAACCAAGTCCACGCTAATGGTCATAATTGCCGGTTGTTGCTATGCGC